GCGTATGGAAAAGATCCAGAGACGTCGCATGTCTGGGAACAGGTCTTGGGGGAAACGGGTCCTGAGGTTTGCATTCGCCGTGTGTGGCTTCTCGAGGCCCTCTGCGCCGAAGAAGAACAAACGGCATAAACAAAAACCCTCGGAGGTCCGCTTGGATTTCTTGGATCTGCGCTGGCCCCCCCCCCAGCGGCTCCTGGCGCCGCCCCTGGCGCGCTCCGCGCGCCAGGGAGGAGGGTCCAGCGCAGATCCAAGAAATCCGCGCGGAGCGCCACATCCTCCTGTTCATGCTGTTTCTCCTTCTCTACTACGGGCGCTGCGCGTGTGCCGCCCCCGGGGCGTCGCCCCGGTGCTGGGGCCGCTCTCGGGGACCGCACTGCTCCGCTGAGGACGTCGCAGCCCTGGGCGCCCACGAGCTGCCTCATCGGATGATGCGCACGGGAGCCGCACGCACCCGCAGAGCGCGGACGACGATTACGGTCAGGAGCGCTTTCTCAGCTTGTCGCGCCGCCAGTTTGGGCCTTCGGTGGAGCTCCCTGTGGGGCCACGAAGCGTGTGATGGGTGTGCCGAAGTGGTGGGGAGCCGCAATGCGGACCTTGCCGCTGGGGCCTCTGGTGGAGCTTCTTATATAAGGCCACGAAGCGTGGGAGGGGTGTGCTGAATCTGGCGCGGGGCCGCCATGCAGATCCTGCCGCTAGTGCCTTTGGTGGAGCTCCCTGTGGGGCCACACAACGTGTGAGGGGTGTGCCGAATCGGGTCCGGGGCCGCCATGCGGACCCTGCCGCTGACCACCGATGGGGCCACAAAACGTGCGAGGTGTATGCCGAAATCAGTGCAGGGCCGCCAAGCGGACCCTGCCGCTGAGGCCTTGCGTGGAATTCCCCATGGGGTTACGAAACGTGCGAGGGGTGTGCAGAAATTGGGGGCCGCAATGCGGACCCTGCCGCCAGGGCTTTCGGTGGAGCTCATATGAGGCGGCGAAGCGTGGGAGGGGTGTGCCGAAATGATTGCGGGCCGCCATGCGGATCCTGTCGTTGCGGCCTTCGGTGGAGCTCCGTATGGGGCCGCGAGACGTGTGAAGGGTATGCCGAACTGGATGCGGGCCGCTATGCGGACCCTGCCGCTGGGGCCTTCGGTGGAGCTCCCTCGGGGCCACGAAACGTGTGAAGGGTGTGCCGAACTGTGAGTGCGGGGCCGCCATGCGGACCCTGCCGCTGGGGCTTTCGGTGGAGCTCCCTGTGGGGCCACGACATGTGTAAGGCGTGTGCTGAATCTGATGCGGGGCGCCATGTGGACCCTGCGGTTAGTGTCTTCGGTGGAGCTCCTAGTGAGGCCACGAAACGTGTGTGGGGTGTGCCGACATGGGGCACGGGGATGGGTGGAGGGGGGAGGAGGAGGAGAAGAGGAGGAGAGGAGAACGCGGAGCGCTGTCTCTTCAAAACGGGGACCCCAAACCAGCAAATCCCGTAACGTAGTATCTGCTCAAGGTCCTCTCGATCAGCCACGAGTGCGACTGGGCAACACCTGCTTGCGATGGCGATCGTTGGAGGAATTTGGAGTCCACGTACGTTTAAGTTACCAACCGAGACGCCCTGGCGCACCCGCCATTCCCTACACGGGACACCCTCCGGGCGACATCGTCGTTTGTCTTGCCTGGGCTTGTCCTCCATGAGATAGCCATTGATTATAATGTTTGACGCCGTCGTCTTCCGCATCTCGTCACGGTGCGTGCTGTCGTCATCGTGCTCTCATCTTTCCCATCCGCAGCCGCAACTGCTTGCACCCCTGGGCGGCAGCGCAGAGTAGGTCCACATATGGTGCTTGGTTGGTGCTTCTATCTGTGGGCAGAACAAGGTAACGAGACTGAGAGGGAACGAGACGACGAGACTGTCAGAGCGACAGAGATAAGCCAGAGGTAGAGATATTACATACATATAAATAGACAGAAAGAGAGAGAGAGAGAGAGAGAGACAGCAAGGGCGAGAGAGAACAAGAGAGGGAGAGAGAAAGAGAGTGGAAGACACGGAGAGAGATGTACAGAGAGAGTCAACGAAACAGTATCCTGGCGAAGGACCCAACCATATGCACTTGTGGGTGCCGCGTTGTGGGTACCGCTCTCGGTGGAGCTCCCCACGAGGACACGCTCCTCGTGAGGGGCGTGCCGACATGGGCGGGGTGACGCATGCGGACCCTGCCGCTGGAGCTCCCTATGGGGCCACGATCCTACTGAGGGGTGTGCCGAAATGGGCGGGGGGACGCATGCGGACCCTGCCGCGGGGGCCTTCGGTGGAGCTCCCTGTGAGGCCACGATCCTCGTGAGGGGTGTGCCGAAATGAGCTGGGGGACGCATGCGGACCCTGCCTCTGGGGCCTTCGGTGGAGCTCCCTATGGTGAGGGGTGTGCCGAAATGGGCGGGGTGACGCATGCGGACCCTGTCGCTGGGGCCTTTGGTGAAGCTCCCTATGGGGCCACGATCCTCATGAGGGGTGTGCCGACATGGGCGGGGGGACGCATGCGGACCCTGCCGCTGGGGCCTTCGAGGGGTGTGCCGAAGTGGGCGGGGGACGCATGGGGACCCCGCCGCTGGGGCCGTCGGTGGAGCTCCCCATGGGGCCACGGTCGTCGTTAGGGGTGTGCCGGAATGGGCGGGGGGACGCATACGGACCCTGCCGTTGGGGCCTTCGGTGGAGCTCCCTATGGGGCCACGAACCGTTTGAAGGGTGTGCCAGAATGGGATGGGCACGCGGAGAGCAGATGCCAGGGATGGGAGGAGGGCGGAGGGGGAGGAAGGAAGGAGGCGGGAAAATGGGGGGCGCTGTCTCTTCAAAACGAGGACCCAACACCACAGGGTGGTTGGGAACAACGTGTATCGCTAAGGAAAAGGATCCGCAGAAAGATGGGGAGCGCGTGCGAGTGAGAGAGAGAGATTGGCAGCAAGCCAGAATCGTTTAGTCAGGGAGATCTGACGTGTCGTAATGGGATTACGCAATTACAGAGCGCTAGAGCGACGGAGAGATTGAGAGTGAGAGAGAGACGTAGAGAGAGGAAGAGAGACAGAGGGGCGGAGAGACGGAGATACAGGTATCTATAGAGAAATAGGCAGACGGAGAAGCGGAGGGGGCTGGGAGAAACAAGGGAGGGAGAGGGCAGAGAGCGACGGGATATGGTTTATCTGTGGGAATCTTCTATTTCATTGGTTGCGCCTGTGGCGCACCTCGCTTAGACAGGAGCGGCTGCGCTAGGGCTGATGTGGATTGCTTCCATTACAGAAAAGTTGCACTCAGTATTGGGACTATGCGAGTGGCACCGTTATGTGAAACAATGGAGAGAAGAATGAGGACCAGAGAAACGCAGGATTGGAGGAACAGCAGGACGTCAGAGCGAACGGAAGAGGCCGAGATGACCGTGTTGCCAGGGGTGCGCAAGGCGACTTGACAGGCGAGCCGTGTTTGTGACGTGCTCCTCGTCCCCTCACCAGCACAGGGTGATCCTGCGCCCTTCGCCTGCGCGCAACCTGAAAGCAGAGTCTCCGACCCCTGTCGGACCGTGCGGCCTCGGGCGCGCTGCATGGCCGCAGTCCGAAGAAGCTCCCGCGAAGACCCCGCAGTGCGGCTTGGGCCTGGGGAAGGGCGAGGGAGGAGGGAGGAGGGGTGAGAATGAGGAGGAGGAGGAGGCGGAGGAGGAGGAGGAGGAAGATGAGGAGGACGAGGAGGAGGAGGACGAGGAAGAAAAGGAGGAGACTCTGGAGGCTCTGGATGACGACGAGGTGTGCAGTGTGGGTGGAGGCCGGCCCTGTTCCGGGGGAGATGCGGCCGGCGTGCCCCGGGGGGCGCCAGGCGGAGGGCCAGCAGGAGGGGGGGGGGGTCCGCGGCAGCACCGGCCAGGCGCTGCACGGCCGAGTGTCCCGTCGGCGTTCCCCCCCTCCTCGTTCGGGATGCACAACTCCTGGGACCCAGACCTCCAACGTATTGAAAAAATCACGACGAAGGTTTTTCTAGACGTTCGGCCTCTATAGGGGCCCTCGCCGGGCCCCGGGACCGTCAAGAAACGACTCAGGATGAGAAACCGGTCCCGGGGAATGGGTCGAGGCTTCGGGGGACCGCGCATGGAAAAAATCACGGCGTCGGATCTCTGGGGAGGTCGAACTCTGGCGTTGCATCCTGGCCTTCCCCCCGAGTGCCCGACGCACGCTGGAGAGCGCCGGAGCAGGGAGGCAGAAGCGCTCCTCCCTCGCATTCCCCCCCCCCCCCCGCCCTTCCTGCCGCAGGGGCGAGGAGAGGGGGGGGGGCGAGGAGGCCCCCGTCGCCTGTTCCTGCTGCTCCTCCCCCTGCCTCTCCCCTTCCCCTCCAGCCTCTCCCCCTCCCCTCCTCCCCTCCGCCCTGTGGCGTCGTGTTCCTTCCGGCTCGCGCTCCACGTCCCGAGGGCGTGCTCGAGTGATCTTGGTCGGAAGCCCACGCCAAGAGTCTCCACCCCGTCTCCAGGCCCCAGGCCAACGACCTGGCGCTCGGTGCACAGCGTTCACAACGTTGGCCCGGGGAGACCTGGACCACCTCCGAGAGGCCGCGGCTTCTCGTCCCGAGCCGTCTCTGTGTGCAGCGGCCTCTGTGGCCCAGCGAAGGCCCCCTGGAGGCCGCGGGTTGTCAAGTACCGTGGGTTCCCATGCTTGCTTCACGTCGCGAGGAGGTATGAGTACTTCGAGGAGCGGGAGGAGGAGGAGGAGGAGGAGGAGGAGGAGGAGGAGGAGGAGGAGGAGGAGGCGGAGGAGGCGGAGGAGGAGGCGGAGGAGGAGGAGGCGGAGGAGGAGGAGGCGGAGGCGGAGGAGGAGGAGGCGGAGGAGGAGGAGGCGGAGGCGGAGGAGGAGGAGGAGGAGGAGGAGGAGGAGGAGGAGGAGGAGGAGGAGGAGGAGGAGGAGGAGGAGGAGCGGGACGACGACGACGAGGACCCTGGAGCCTGGAGCCAGGCCTCATCAGCGTCGCGCTCGGCGCACGGGCTCCGCCCGGGGAGTTGTTCGTGGCTCAAGCACGCAGGGCAACCCCACCTTGCTGGAAAGCGCTTTCGTACCCTCACGCCCTTTCAGGCGGCCCCTCGCTTTGGAGCCGGCTGAGGGTCTGAGGTGCCCACACTGCTTCCGGCGAGCAGGAAACGGGGGGCAGGTTCGAGGTTCTGGGTTTGGGGAAGTTTGCCCAACAATCCTTTGGTGTTGGGTCTTCGTTTTGAAGAGACAGCGCCCCGCGTTCCTCCTCCCGCTGCCCCCTCCCTCCCTCCCTCCTCGCGTCCCTGCCTCTGCCCTCCTCACCAAGCACAGCGCTTCGTGGCCCCATGGGGAGCTCCACCGAAGGCCCCAGTGGCAGCGCCCGCATGCGGTTCCACCCCGTTTTCGGCACACCCCTCACACGCTCCGTGACCCCATAGGGAGCTCCACCGAGGGCCCCAGTCGCAGCGCCCGCATGCGGTTCCACCCTCCATTTCGGAACACCCGTCACACGTTTCGTGGGCCCATGGGGAGTTCCACAGAAGGCCCCAGTGACACCGCCCGCATGCAGTTCCACTCCCGTTCTGGTGCACCGCTCAAACGGCTCGTGGCCCCATCAGGAGCTCCACCGAAGGCCCCAGTGGCAGCGCCAGCATGCAGTTGCACCCTCCTTTTCGGCACACCCCTCAAACGCTTCGTGGCCCCATAGGGAGCTCCCCCGAAGGCCCCAGGGGCAGCGCCCGCATGCGGTTCCACCCCCTGTCTGGGTGGTCCCGCAGGGAGCTCCACCCAAGGCCCCATGGGGCAGCGCCCGCATGCAGTTCCACCCCCAGTCTGGCACAACCATTTACACGTTTCGTGTCGTGGGCCCATGGGGGGCTCCACCGAAGGCCCCAATGGCAGCGCCCGCATGCGGTTCCACCCCGTTTTCGGCACACCCCTCACACGCTCCGTGACCCCATAGGGAGCTCCACCGAGGGCCCCAGTCGCAGCGCCCGCATGCAGTTCCACCCTCCATTTCGGAACACCCGTCACACGATTCGTGGGCCCATGGGGAGCTCCACAGAAGGCCCCAGTGACACCACCCGCATGCAGTTCCACTCCCGTTCTGGTGCACCGCTCAAACGGCTCGTGGCCCCATAAGGAGCTCCACCGAAGGCCCCAGTGGCAGCGCCAGCATGCAGTTGCACCCTCCTTTTCGGCACACCCCTCAAACGCTTCGTGGCCCCATAGGGAGCTCCCCCGAAGGCCCCAGGGGCAGCGCCCGCATGCGGTTCCACCCCCTGTCTGGGTGGTCCCGCAGGGAGCTCCACCCAAGGCCCCATGGGGCAGCGCCCGCATGCAGTTCCACCCCCAGTCTGGCACAACCATTTACACGTTTCGTGTCGTGGGCCCATGGGGGGCTCCACCGAAGGCCCCAATGGCAGCGCCCGCATGCGGTTCCACCCCGTTTTCGGCACACCCCTCACACGCTCCGTGACCCCATAGGGAGCTCCACCGAGGGCCCCAGTCGCAGCGCCCGCATGCAGTTCCACCCTCCATTTCGGAACACCCGTCACACGTTTCGTGGGCCCATGGGGAGCTCCACAGAAGGCCCCAGTGACACCGCCCGCATGCAGTTCCACCCTCCATCTCGGCACACCCCACGCGTCAAGACCCCATGGGAGCTCCACCGATGGCCCCAGCGGCAGCGCCCACATGCGCTTCCACCTCCATGTCAGTGCACCCGTTACACGCTTCATGGCCCCATAGGTGGTCTACACCGAAGCCCTCAGTGGCAGTGCCCGCGGTTTCATCTTCTATTTCCGAGAACCACTCACACGTGTCGTGGCCCATCGGGAGCTCCACCGAATGCCCCAGCGGCAGCGCCCGCACGCGCTTCGTGGGTCCATAAGAAGACCCACCGACGGCAGTAGTTACAACGACGGTACCCACAACGGCATATGGTTGGGTCGCCAGGCTAGTTGTTTTTTGTTCGGTCTCTGGGGTTCGTGTTCAGGCCCCGGGGCCGTCAAAAACGTATCCGGGGTGGACAAGTGCACCGGTGAGGATGGATCCCCAGAGGGGTCCCGGCACCGATTCGGACCTGGCTTCATCGCCCCCTCGTGATCGATTGCTGATTTTCTGGGGTCCCAGCCAGTTCCGACCCCCGGCCGCCTCCAACCCTCGCCCGTGCCCGCCCAGGAGTCGGAGGGGGGCGAGTTCGGACAACGAGGGTGGCCTTCGGGGGGGCCCCATCCTCGCCACGGCAGCACGCAGCTCGGAGCACTTGTGCGTGGGGACCCTGGGGGGGGGTCCTGGGGGCCGACTTTGAGCTGCCGTTGCCTCGACTCGCCCTGCTCCGACGGAGGCGGAAGCTGCGGGTGGCAGCCACCTCTGCTGATGCGACGCCCTCGTGGACCCTGCTCCCGGCTGTCGCCTGGAGGAGGGGGCGAGCGACAAGAGGTGAAGGAGGAGGAGGAGGAAGGAGCGATTGAACGGCGGGGGCCATGGAGGCTGCAAGGTCCTGCCCACCTCATGCTCCCCGTCGCTCCTCCTCCTCCTCCTCCTCCTGCTCCTCCTCCTCCTCCTGCTCCTCTCAGGGTACGTTCGCTCCTCCTGCTCCTCCTCGTCCTTCCTACTGCTCCTCCTCCTCCTCCGTAGCCATTTTGGCTCAAGCCACTTTGGCTCAAGACGGGAACTCCTCCCCGTCCTGGCTCCAGAGGCTCGAGGCCGAGGTGGAAGAGCAGCCCCTTCCACAGGCCTGGCTGCCTCGGCCCAGGGTTGCAGCCATTCCTCACCGCCACTTTTTCTGTCTTTTACTGGTCGCAGCCGCGAACGGCCACAAGCAGTGGAAGAAATGGGACTGCCAGACGCCGCACTGCTGGGGATGGACCTGGCATGGGACTGGTTGTCACAAGCATTGTTCTGAATGTGGCAAGTCTTTCAAGTCTCAATCTCATCATTCCCGTGCTGCAGGTGACAAGTCGGCAGTGCAAGAGGATGGAGGCAGCCACCAGCAGCGTGATTTTCGTAACAGATGGTCTCGCAGCCGTTGCGCACGAGGACACGAAGCTCAACCGCAGAAGGATGGTGGCCCAAAGTCGTCACTCGCCCCAGAGGTCATAGACCCAGCCAAGGACGACGTCGCCATATGCATCCAGGCGGTCAATTTCTGGAAGAAACGGTCGGGCAGGAGGGCAAGCAGTATTTGCTGGCTGGTGAAAGCTTCCGCCAGGCAAAGAACAAGGCCCTCGACGGCAAGTCGCTGGACGCCAGGACCCAGTCCCTGGCGGACCAACCTCAGCGACAACGGCGCCACTTGGAGTCTAAGAAAAGAGAAGTTGAACGTAACCTCATCCATCTCGACAAGGCCTTCGAGCAGTACGGCAAGTTTTTGGAATCTTACAACGAGCTGCTCACCGAGATCGCCCAGCTGGAGGCCCAGCACAGCGTGGCGGCAAAAGCAGCAGTGGCAGAGGCAGCAGCTCGCCTCAACGCCAACGGTAAAGACAGCACCCTGCTCACCTTCGTGGGCACGCGCTTCCCGCAGGCACTCCCGCCCCACATCAAGGCGGAGCTCGAGGCGGTCAATTCAAAGTTGGAGCAGGAGTGGCGCCAGCAGCAGCGGCAGCCGCAGGCGCAGCGGCCTGCAGATCAACCTGTGCCTGTGGAAGGAGCAGTACCCGCACCACCAGCTGCAGGAGGTGTCCATGTGCCTATCCCCCCCGACCAACCAGACGAAGGTCTGGGCGCCCCGCCGTCCGCCATGGCGGTGGATGATGATCGTGGCACGGTCCGCAAGCACGTCGCCGCAGGTGAGAGCCTGGTCCTCCCCACATCCACGGGCATCTACGGCCTCGGCGAAGAGGCGGTCGCAGCGCAGGGCAGGCTCGCCAAACGCCAGGCCAAGGCCAAGCCAGGCCCCGCTGGCGCTGGCAACGCAGGCTCGGGTGAGGCAAAGCCGTCGGCTGGGTACCATTTTCACGATTTGCATTTTCAGTTGCAGTAGCTGGACCGTTTTTTATTCTTAGGATCCAAGGAGGCAAAATCAGTCCAGGTAATCTGCTGCCAGGAAGCTCGCCTCCAAGTGCAAGATCTGGCCAGGCAAACCGAATTGTGTGCTAACAGGAGATGGTTCGCAGTTTTGCCGCCTGCGGTTCTGAGTGCCAAAGGGTTCCCGTGTCAGGGCACTGGTGTACTAGTACGCATCGGGCTCGGCCTTGGAATCCACAAAGTACGTATTCCAGAAGGTTTCCAGCAGTCTCGGGCTACACTTGTCTGCCCTGAGGTCCCGGGACATCAGCCTTTCTGCTTGGGGTCTGTCTACTTGGCCGACTCCGTCGGCCTGAATAAGGACAACCGCACCGCGCTTGCCCAGGTAGCCCAGGCCGCCTCCAGCCAGCGCATGCCGATGCTCTCGCTGGCGATGTCAGGGTCAATCCTAGCAAAGTGATCGAAACGGAGTTCCCGACCAGGGCTGGGGTCCAGGTGACCACGCCGGATAACACTACATTATACACCTTAAAGAATCGAAATCCACCGTCGATTTCTTCATGGGGTCGCACTGTTTCGAGCACTTCCTGAAGCGGCCCAAAGTTTTGACGGACTGCCCAAGTGGCCCTCATAGGCCAGTCGTGATAGATATGGTGGTTGGGGCCCCGCATCTCATACCCGTTCTGGAACAGCCTCAATGCATCCCTGTGGTGGCCCCTGTGGGGCCTCGTCATACCTGCCCGCCCTGGCCCAGAAGGTCACGGGCTCGGGAATTCCTGGAGGGCATTCTTGAAGACCGTGATCGTTATGTTGTCTTTGGGGGCTCTGGACCGCCAGTGCCGGTGCAGCCTGTCTCTGTGGACGCTCTAGGTGCAGCTGTTGATGCATCCTATGGCTACTTGGTGGACGACATGTCCACAGCGCTCAGCATCATAACCGACACCCCTTTGATGAGCCAGAGACGCCGAGCTCAGGTGCCTACAGTTTGCCAAGGCTGTCGAGACCAAGGACAGGAGGAGTTGGAGAAACGCAACAGCAACATTCAGGTGGCTTCGAAATGAGGTCATCAACGTCAGGAGGGGAATTGAGGATAAGGATTTAGAGGCGCTCCAGCAGACCCAACTCGATCT